CATTATATTATTATATCGGCTGGGGATAAAGAGCAGCAATTAATTAATTAAAGACACGTTTAGAGCCTGATGGGAATTACTCACTCAGGAGGAGAGGACTCAATCTGCAGGTGTCAAAGGTGAGGAGGAGGAAGGGGAGGAAGAGGAGGGCAAGGGTAGAGCGGAGGGGGGAAAAGTAGAAGATGAGGAGTAGTAGGAGGAGGAACAAAATGGACGAAGAGTAGAAGAAAGGAAGAATGAGAAGAGGAGGAGGTGTAGGAGGAAGAGGAAGGAGGAGGAAGAGGAGAAGAGAGGACGAGGGGGAGGAAGGCAATGAGGACGTGTACGAGGAAGAGGAAAGGGGAGGGTAGGAGGAAGTGGAGGAGAGAAGGGAAGTGAAGGAGGAAGAAAAGGAAAATGGGTGGAGCAGATGGATGAGAAGGACAGAGGAGTAGGGGGGAAGTGATATTATAATGAAACTTCATCAAGGGTGTGTTGTTGTTGTTATGGACTCACAGCTGGAACTGACCAGCTGACAACATCTGGTCTGAAGAAAAGGCTGTTTATCATAACAAAAATTATGATGATCTGTGTGATGGTTGTGATGTGGCTTGATCTCCTCACACACACACACACACACACACACACACACACACACACAAACACAAACACACTCATTTAAAGGCGTAGGGTTTGAAGACAGTACACCTGAGCAGGTAATATACACAGTACCTGAGCAGGTAGTATACGGGCGCTGATGTCATCTGATCTGCTGTGACATCACTGATGGGGGGTGGCCTGTCTGAGACCGGATGAATCCAAGAGAAACAGAAGAAGACCAGTCAGAGTCAGTTTCACACAGCAACATTTGATCCTTTGTGTGTATGTGTGTGTGTGTGTGCGTGTGTGTGGGACCAGAGATTACTCAGACCCATTTCCTGAGCTATCTTTGTCACTCACTTGCCCTGTTTCTATATATAGTCTGGTCCAGGAGGCACTCTGGCTCTTAGGGGGGAGGAGAAGGAGGAGAAGGAGGAGAAGGAAGAAGAAGAAGAAGGAGGGGAGGAGAAGGAAAAAGGGGCCGGGGAGGGGTCCCTTTGAGGTCGCTTCCTCCTCCAGAGGCCGCTTATCATTCACTTCGGCTGCAACTCGGCTGTCCTGTTCCGTCTGCTCTTTTGATGCTGTCGAAAGACGCAGCCCTCTAGGCGGCGATGTGGAGAACACATCTGATCTATCCTATGCAGCGCAGGGTTTTTCCTCCTGCGGGCCGATGAAAATGGTATTTTCTTCAGGAAGGAGACAGGTGAGCCGGCAGCGGGGAAAGCGGGAGTTCACTTTTAAATATGAGTAATAGAATTCATTTGAATCTCTCATCTCATTGTTAACCGCTTATCCGGGGTCGGGTGACGGGGGCAACGGCTCCAGCAGGGGACTCCAAACAGCCTAACTTTTTTGGCGAAAATGACCTAGAGAGTCACGTCTTTGTGTGTGGAAGTCGTTGGCCCCGTGCATCGCCACTGCTGTTTTTCATCCATAACTTTGTGCACCTCTCGACTGGCGAACCGACGTTTGCGGAGATCTCCCTCCATGAATCGGAGGCCATCCGCACGTCCTTATAGTCCGCCAATGACGGGTTGAAGAAGTGGTCATATTCATGGATTTTTCAATCTAATTCATTATCTCGTAAACATTCTTCGTTTTAATAATGGCGGTATTGTGCTATGAAACCGGAAATATGAGACTCCAGAAAGGATGTAGTTAGCAGACCAATCGTAGCCTTGGGGGTCGACGCATGCAAGGAGGGATGAAAAGGCACGCACGCAAAGGGGCTCTTGAGTCTGCGTGTCCTTGGGTCTCTCTGAAAACGCAGAAGCATAAACTAGGCTTTACTGCTGAGCACCCGAACACAGCTCTCACTTTGGGCGTACAGGGATTGGATGGCCCCAAGTAGGGACCCCCCTCACCCGTACTCCTGCAGCACCTCCCACATTATCTCTCGGGGGACCTGGTCATACGCCTTGTCCAGGTGCACAAAGCACATATAGACTAGATGAGCATACTCCCAATCCCCCTCCATGATCCTTGAAAGAGTAAAGAGCTGGTCCGTCATTTCGCGACCAGGACGGAAATTGCATTGATCCTCTTCAATCCTTGGTTTGACTATCTGCCGAACCCTCCTTTCCAGCACCTTGGAGTAGAATTTACCAGGGAGGCTGAGTAGTGTGATACCCCTGTAATTGGCACACACTCTCCGGCCCCCCTTTTCGAAGAGAGGCATCACCACCCCGATCTGCCACTCTTTTGGCACGGTCCCAGACTTCCACCCAATGTTGAAGAGGCGTGTCATCCAAGACAGCCCCTCAACACCCATTGCTTTCTGCATCTCCGCACGAATCTCATCAATCCCCGGGACTTTGCCGATCCCTCCTCTGCCTCCATCCCTGCCTCTACCAAAGGGGGTGTAGTAGTTAGAATCAGGAGTTCCTTCCACCGCCAGATAATCTCCTCATTTGCTGTCAACAGGGTCCCAGCCTTACTGTACACAGCTCCCCTGCCTGAGGTGCCGGATGGTCTTCCAAAAGCACTTTGGTGCCGACCGAAAGTCTGTCTCCATAGCTACCCTGAACTCCTTTAACCCATCCCACAAAGTGGGAGCAGTGTGCTGGCAGTAAAGGCGCCCGGGGAGCAGTTAGGGGTTAGGTGTCTTGCTCAGGGACACTTTGACATGGGACATGGAGCAGGCAGGGTTCGAACCGCCAACCCTGCAGTTCCCAGCACACCCTCTCTACTCCATGAGCCCGTCACCCCTTTAATTTAGTCTGATTATATACTACCTATACATTTAGTTTAATGTGAGGTTATTAAGAGGTTAGGTTGCAATTGAGGTTAGGGTTAAATGAGTTCTTATCTTATGCAAGAAAAATACTGAGTCTGCTCGGTTCAGCCGTCCTTGAAGAACCTGGCCCACATAGTCCGGAAGGCCGGGTCCTTGTGAGGATGTAACCCACCAAATGAGGCTCCTCAGTCGTTGCTGCTGAAGTAACAGCTGCAGTTCAGCGAGGAACCAGCAGAGGGGAGCAGAGACATTCAGCCACTGAACACAGGAAGTCTCCTCTGGACTGACCGATCCGCATTACTTTATATCTATCTTTGAGTGTCTTTGTTGTCCTTCTTTCTGCTTTTTTATTCTCACCTTGTTGACATTATTTATGGTGAATCTGATCTAGAGGAATTAATAAAGTATTTTTTAACTGCAGTCTCCTTATTCCCTTTGTCCAGATGTAGATTATGATTTATTAATAAATAGCTGCACAAAATCGGCCGGTAGTACTTGTTGTAGTATCTATGTGATAGTACTTGTGGTTGTACCTGTAATAGTATTCATACTACTCGTGGTAGAACTCGTGGTAGTACTAATGGCATTACCTGTGGCAGTGCTCGTGGTCGTACCAGTAGTAGTGCTTGTGGTACTACTCGTGACAGTACTTGTGGTAGTACTTGTGCAGTACCCATGGTGCCTGTGGTAGTACTCAAATAGCCAATGGGTCAGTGAAGGCATTGTGTCACTCAGCTGATCGGTTGCCTCGTTAAAAACCATTAACGAGGAACACAAGCTGTCAGAAGAAGAATGTTTATTCTCCTCCCTGACGACGTCTGAGCTTTGATGGTGTTCTTGAAGAAGACGCATCCAGGTGGGATGGGAGATGTAGGATCAAGCGGGGACTACGTGTCTGATTCTTACATCTTGGTTTTGATCTTCTCTACAAATATTAGATTTCTTCTTCTCTGAGTGTTTATCTGTGTTATTGATCGAACGTTTGACCACATTTAATATTCAGAAACAAACTGACTTGATTTATTTATTTGACATAAAATATATATTTGGATCGGTGAATTTGTGAATATTTAATAATGTTTGTTTCGAGGTGATATAGGTCTATTTATTGATTAGATAATCAGCTGTCTTCATAGTCAATCAACCCATCCGAGATGAATAGTTGATCTGATAGATGAATCGGAGGTCATCATCGATCTGGATCCTGAAGGGCTCGAGTGCGGTTGCCATGGCCGCCCGCTCCCTAGCAACAATGCCAAGCGGCCAGCTAATTAGTCATCTCTAATACGGCGGTATGTCAGATCTGTTGTTGATCCGAATCCATAATTCAGCAGTAGCCTTGAAGTGTTAATGATGAGTATTCTGGGATACTGGAGAGCCCCGTCCCCCCCAACCCCCCCAGGCAAGAGAGAGAGAGCTGCTCCTGCATCAGTTAGGACCGGGTCGCCCTGTGGTCCAGTCACTCAGAGCTGCCGGAGAAGCTCTGAGATCAGCTGGAGCTGGGGAGTGGTTTTAAACAGCAGCTTAGTGCCTCCTCCTCCTCAAACTCCTCCTCCTCTACCTCCTCCTCCTCAAACTCCTCCTCCTCTACCTCCTCCTCCTCTACGTCCTCCGCCCCCCCCCCCCCCTCCCCTCCTCCTCCTCTACCTCTTCCACTTCCACCTCCTTCTCCTCTTCTGCCTCCTACTCTTCTTCCTCCGTGGACCAACGCTCCCTCTCAGGTTGTATCCAAGCTCTATGTGTGTGAGATCACACTGTTTACGATGTCATTGAACTTATTGATCAAATCAGGTCTTGAATCAGAGTTTTTATTGTCAGATTTACTGATTCAATCAAAAATGATGTTTAGTTAATAATTAAGTTGAATTCTTTTCTCGTTGTTTTGTTGTACTGTTGGTGTATGTTTATTGATTATGTGGAAGATTATTAATTTGTTTTTTATAAAAACCTAAATGAAATAAAATAAACCATGTGATAAAATATATTATGATTAGAAAGATTTATATAACTAGATATAGATTATAGACGTTAGTTAACAGCTGTTTCCTTTTGTCATTTAACCTTTGTGATAATGATGTAAATATTGTATCTCTTAATGTTAATTTGTTACATGAACTTCTTTAATGTAACAATTTAACAATAACAATAATTTAATAAGTCAATAAAAAGTGTCCTTACGACACCAACATGTTTCTACATTATTCTATTCTACAGAGAACGTTATTTGGGGTATATTTGTCGGATATTATAGTATAAAACTGAACAAAACTAAAATGTAAAAATTATTCTTTTGTTCTTGCCGTTTGTCTTCAATTCAATGTTCACCCTGGTGATGATTTAGATGATGGATAATTATTTAATACCTGTTGATTCAATAATGTGGTAATATTCACATTATCACATGTTGGCATTGTCTCGTGGAGATAATCACTGCATGTTTAAAGGGAAAGGGAAATCATTTAGATGAAAAAAACGTTTCTGATCATTAGAAACCAGCATCATCATCGCCACCGTCAGTTGTCAGTGAGCTCGACTCTGCTCGCTGTCCGATAATGTGGTTTGGTTTGCTGAGATTGGCTGCTGGCCGAGGAGGGGGGGGATTTATCTTCCTAAATTAAATCAAATAAGAAGAAGATTATCTTCCTTATCTCTACTTTAGTTCTAGTTTCTCATTTATAATCCAGATGTTTCATGTAAAAATATATTAGAGAAGAATTATATTGCTGACTTCGTAACACATTATTATACGGTACATCAGCAAATATAATGACAATAAAAACTTGGAGTGTGTGTTTTTTAATGTAAAATTGGTGTGGTGAAAAAAATATTATCGAAAGAAAGAAGAAACAAAACAATAGAAGCAGAATCTTCATAAGTTAATATTGCTAATTATTTGATCAGAAATTAGTATCAGTGTTACATCAAATGTTTAGTTCTTCAGCTTTAAACTAAGGTGGATCATGGAGTTGAAGTCATGATGTTTACTAACTGGTTTCAATCACTCACTTCCTGTCTCTGAAAACACTTAAAGAGACACTAGACTGTCCTTCTGTGATTACAGTCCCCTGAAGTAACCACAGGACCCTAAATGAGCTAGAACCTTGAAGTCACGGTTGCATAGCTCTTTATAAAACAGATTTGTTTTATTTTGTAGGATGAAGTTCACTTCCAGTAGTGTCCTTGATATATGAATGAATATTTTTGTATCTCCATCAGCTCCTCACTCTTCGTAACTACTTTCTTGCGCCTGGCAGCCAGAGAGCAGCACTTAGGACGTCTTTTCCACCTCTCGGTCCAACATGGACACATTTTTCCGCCGTCACTTTAAAAGGAAGGAGACCGCTCTGCCGGCGGGGGTGGATTCTAACTCCCCCCAGCAGCGGCGGCCCAGTGTGGCTGTGCCAACTAGCAAGGCCCGCCGGAGGTCCAATGCCGGGCTTCCTTCCTCCACGCTGAGCCAGCGCCGCCGCCCCAGCGTCCAGCTGCCAGGGGAGCCAGCGTCTGGCAGTGGGGGAAGCCTGGCAAGGACCGCCCGGCACAACAGGTGGGCGGGACACGTCCGGCGGCGCTCCAGCACCACCACACCCAACCTCAATCCCCGGTTTGCCGTGTCCAGGAGGAAGGTGGGGAAGCTGAGGACCATCGACACCCACCTGCTGGGCCCGTCCATGCTGCTTGCCAGCCTCATCCAGATGGCTGAGGAGGAGGAGGAGGAGGAGGCGGGGCTACCAGCCAGAGAGGAGCAGGTGGAGGTAAGGGGCGGTGCCAACAGCAGGAGGATGTTCTCACGGTCCAGCAGCCTCCACTCGAATGGAAACGAGAGTAGCATTGATTACTCCAAAGATGGCCAATCAGAAGCCGGCCAGCTGTCAGAGGCGGAGCAACTGGTGGAGGAAAAAGGAACCTCCTTCGGCCTAGAGGTGACAAGAGAGGCTTCTCGGCCCCCGCCTGCCTCACGGCCCCTCATCAGGCCCCCCCGCTGCCTGAGGAGGAACTCGTCTCAGCTGTTCTTGGGAGACGGCAGCGCTCCATTGAGCCGCCGCCGGGTCTCCGGCCAGAGGAGGAGGATCTCCACCATCTCCAAGGCCGGGAGCCCCTGGCCCGGGAGAGGCCCCCCGCTGCCCAACCGCAGGAGCTCGGTGCACTACCTGAACCACCCGGCCTTCTACCGGGGCCCCGGGGCCCTGAGCCTGCTGGGCGACCCCCATCTTGAGAGCTGGAGCTGCTTCCTGCTGTATGTAGACCTCAAACATGGCGACTGAAGCTTTAACGTTACTGAGAGAGAATCGCACAATAACATGTCAGAAGGCCAGCTGAAATGAGGATTCATTCTTTCATCCTCTGATGAGAGAGAAGATTTCCTTGTCTGTCATCAGAGGAAACATCTTACAGTCTCTCAAAATATCAAGTTATGGACAGAAAAAAAACCATGTAATATACTTAAAGTTACTATAAGTACCAGTACGTACTAGTGTTGGCGCCTTCAAAATAAAAGTAAAAAGTCGTTGCGGCCAGTGAATCAAAAAGTACACAACTGAAAGCGACTATCAACATGAACTAAACCTTCAGAGGTGACGAAGTCGCACGTGGACAAGGAATGAGTGTGTGTGTGTGTGTGTGTGTGTGTGCTCATACAACTGTCCTTGTGAATTGATGTTTTGCTCAGGGGGGGTGAAAGACACGATATTGCTCCATGAAACGTTTTTAAACAACACTAACATGAAAAAGCTGCAACCGGTAACACTTACAAATGGTTCTGAAGTAGTCTGTTTTCTTAAAGGCCTTCTTTTGCCCTCTTGCGGTTTTCAGGAAAGCCATCGCAAAGTCTGGTCTGCAGCCCGCAGCGTCGACGTCCGGCCTGACCGACCCGCTGCCAGAGCCCGACGGCACCATCAACTGGAGCGTGAGTCCCAGCCGCACCGGCCACCACTCGGCTCCACATGATGCCATCTGAGAAGAATGTGGAGATGTTTTTGGTTTGCTCTCCTTCGCAGGACAACGCGCAGTTCGGAGACCACATCTGGTTCGAAACCAGCGTCTCTGGAGACTTCTGTTACGTGGGAGAGCAGTACTGCGTCGCTAAATCCGTGGTGAGTATATTAAACAGAAGTTAAATATACTTAACATTCACAATGTGCACACATACTCAGAGAGTGTGCGTTAATGTATGTACTTCTTCTGAGACCAATAATATTTGAGTAAACCTAACCATGTACCTTTGTTGTATTATTGTTTGGTTTGAATTTACAATCCTGGAGAAAATTATAACGTAATGAAGAATGCACTTTTGTAGATCGGGGAGATTTGGTTACTGAACTTTAACCTCTGACCCTCTGGTTCCAAACCAAGCTGACACACAACCAGGATGTCGATGAATTCAAAATGACACTTGCAATGAATATCACAGCCTGTCTTCATCTCACACCAAGAGTTCTGACACATTTACTGTGATAGCAGAAGTTTGCTGGTTTAACATCACTGAAATCCTTACTTCGCCCTTCCAAATATTCAGCTTAATATTATACTATTATACTAGAACAGTGCAAATACATTGGTTTATCTTCTGCAGCAAAAGTCAGTGGCGAGGAAGAAATGTGCCGGCTGTAAGATATCGGTCCACACGACGTGCATGCAGCAGCTGGAGAAGGTAGGTTGTCCTCTCGAATTCACTCCCCTCCTTCCCCGTCTCCTTCTCACCGACGCTCGTCTCTTTCTTCAGATCAATTTCAGGTGCAAGCCGTCATTTAGAGAACCAGCAGGCCGGGCCGTACGAGAGGTCAGTGCATTGATTACGATCAATATTACAAATACATTAACAGTATTAACATTATTACTAATATATTAATATTATCAATTATCATATAATCTTCTCTTAGGACCTTTCTGAAGAACAAATTTAAGAAAAGGTCAAGAAGAATAATGGTTAGCGAAGCCCATCGCTGATGTCTCTCTAATAACTTCTCTACTCCACTAAAATACAATAAAACTAACAATAGTAATGAATCCTTTATTAATCCTTGTGGGAGAATTATTCTCTGTATTTAACTTGTCCCATACAGTGGGAACAGTTAAGGGTTGGGTGTCTTGCTCAGGGACACTTCGACATGGGACATGGAGCAGCCGGGGTTCTAACCGCCAACCTTGTGGTTACTCTCTCTCCTCCATGCGCCAGGTCGCCCCCACCTACTTGAAATGTATAACAAATGATTACATTAGCATTGTTTAATAAAATTACTATAATCAGTCCACTGTGAAAAGTTCACCTTCTGGAAACCGCAGGACTGAGATCTAATCCATTTTTGTCTTCTTTTTTAGGCCCACATTGTGCGACACCATTGGGTCCACCGGAGACACCAGACTGGGAAGTGTCGACAGTGTGGGAAGGTGAGCCTCCGCCCTCTCCTCCATCAGCGCTTCACCGACACCACGTAGAGAGGGTTAAATTCGTATAATACCTGTCCCATGTAGCTATATAGTAATAAGATAATCTGACAGGTGTAGTGGGCGGGGCACTGGGTTCAGTTTTAAATATAATTGCGCAATTACCTGTTCTTATACACTACTAGAATTGTCTTTTTGCAAACTAAAATAACTGGCGGTGCCTCCAATAGAATTTAAGTAATAAAACAAAAGGTTAATGACATTCTTGTACTGGACTTCAACGCAGCAAACAGACTTCAGGCATTTAACAAAAAACAGTTTGGCATTTGTTACACGTGAACGTCAATATAATATGCCCCCCACTTTCTCACACTCACACACAAAAACCCTCGTTGCAGGCCGAGGCGTAGCTTAGTCGGAGCGTAGAGGCCTAAAACGATGATGGCCGCTTCACTTGTTCATAAAAGCAATAAACAAAAAGGTGTGTATGTGCAAGATAGTCTGTACTCACAAATCCCATGCAATACTCAAAGGGGACGGTGAGTGGAAACTGGGAAAGAAACAGCAGCAACCATAGATATATATAAAGGCTAGATGTCTTACGGCGGAGTCAAGAACGTCCGCACATGGCGGCAATCTTGCCACAGTCAGCTCGCTCACCCGTTAAATTGTGTTGGTAGTGGTAAATGTACTTTTTGAATAACCATAACTTTTTGGTTTTGTTTTTGTAGTTATGACACTGCATATTCATGAATAATTATGTTATGTTCTAAAAATGTTCTGAAATAGGTACAAGATTTCCCCTTTACAAAAATACATCAAGAAATGCTGCATGTTGAAATCCCCACCCTGTACAGACGTATTCATGACACTGCATACTTATGAATAATTATAATTATAACTGTTGTGGGTTTTATTATGAAAATAACATTAAACAGAACAGTTAGGAGCAATAAAGTTGGATTGGCTGTTAGTGTCAGGACAAACCAATTAAAGACGAAACAAAGATTGACATGTTTGTCAGGGATAACACACGTGCTGAATCTTGTACATATAAAACAAACTATACTAATTTGCATGAACTGCAACAATTGAACTTTAATATTATTAATCTCTAATTGAAATACCTTTTTATCCATCTGTATCTAATTTTCACAGTACTTTTACATTAGAACAAATGTTTTAGAAATACATACCGTGATTTCTAAATGAATTTTGTGCCTGGGCTACACCCGTCTCCTTTTTCATCTCCAACAGGGATTCCAACAGAAGTTCTCCTTCCACAGTAAAGAGATCGTTGCCATCAGCTGCTCGTGGTGCAAACAGGCCGTAAGTTCAGAGTTAAGTAAGGAAGCATTGAAGCTCCTTTCATTAGCATTAGAGAATTCCAACAGCTCTTATCATGTACACTACTTCCAGGTCCTTTCACTGAGTAAGTAACCTTCCTAAGCAAATTAGCATCACAGTCAGGTGACCTCCTGTCTGTTCCAGTACCACAGACAGGTGACTTTCCGTCTGTGTTTTGGTACCACAGACAGGTGACTTTCCGTCTGTGTTTTGGTATCAGAGACAGGTGACTTTCCGTCTGTCTGTGTTTCAGTATCACAACAAGGTGACGTGCTTCATGCTGCAGCAGATAGAGGAGTGCTGCTCTCTGGGAGCTCACGCTGCCGTCATCATCCCTCCTACCTGGATCATCAGGGTCCGCAGAACACAGGTAAACACACGTTTTTCTGTACCTGTGAGGACACCCTGTTTTCCCAAGCTCCTAACCCTTTATGATTACTCTGCCTTTCATAACTCTAAACTACCCCTGTTCCAACATTAAAATCAGAATCACAATCAGCTTTATTGGCCATGTATGCCGACCATACAACAAATTTGACTCTGGTTCTTCCTTTACTGCCCACATACTGTATAAACAATTTAAAAAAATAAACAAGAAAAAACAAAACACAAAAAGAAATTGCTTTGAGGACTTTGAAGGCCGCTTTCTTTAAACATGAAGAGAAAGTGGAACGAATCAGGAAGGTCCTTCACTCTTTATTTGGTTTGTTCATAAAGTACAAGTTGTGTTCGCATCGTCCTATAAATAAGTGTAGCTCTGCACACACATTCACATCTTCTGATACGTTTGTATTCTTTTTTGTTCAGACGTCCCTAAAGTCGAGTAAAAAGAAGAAAAGGACATCGCTGAAATGCAACAAGTCGAGCAAAAAGGGATCGGAGGTGAGGAATGAAACTCAACATTTAAAAAATGCTTTTTGGTTTCGGCCATGACGATGGACGTAGGTTAGCTTCTAGCTAACTGTGGTCAAGCTAAATCACATAAATATAACATTTAGCTGACGTTGAGACCTCTGAGATACTGTCATATCATCAGAACATCCGTTGCATTGAGGTTAACGAGTTGACATGATGTAATGTGACAAGGTTTTAAACGTGTCGGGCAGGTCCAAGATGGCCGATGGAAGCCCTTCCTGCTGAAGCCCCTCCCTTCTCAGCTCATGAAGCCTCTGCTGGTGTTCGTCAACCCGAAAAGTGGAGGAAACCAGGTAGAGTCCCCTGCATTTATCTCACAGCCTCTCGAGATGTAGCATCTCATCTGAGCGAGGGGGCTCACTTGAATGGCAACATTTAAATGAATAAGCAGTTCATTTTCTAATGATTGATGAACAGATTAATGGACAAACTGCTTCTTAAATTACATTTAATTTAGAGTCTTTGTTGTATTGTACTCCTCCCCTCAGGGAGCTAAGATCATCCAGTCGTTCATGTGGTACCTGAACCCCCGGCAGGTGTTTGACCTGACCAAGGGAGGACCCAGAGAGGGGTAAGACGGGACCCTCTGGGTGCATCCCATTTCCCTCGGTGTGAGGGAGACGGGTGTTCATGCTTACCTCTTTGTCTCCTGCAGGCTGGAGCTCTACGCCAAGGTGCCCAACCTGAGGGTCCTGGCCTGTGGGGGGGACGGGACGGTGAGTGGGTCAAAGACTTCTGAACATTGCACGCCAACACCTACTGTCACAAATCAAACATCTTCACAAACGCAAATGTGCGTATGTGTGTGTTCATTTGCATTTGTATGTGTGTGTGTGTGTGTGTGTGTGTGTGTGTGTGTGTGTGTGTGTGTGTGTGTGTGTGTGTGCGTGTATGTGTGTGTGTGTGGTCAGGTCGGCTGGATCTTGTCTGTTTTGGATGAGCTAAAGCTCTGTCCTCAGCCTCCTGTGGGAATTCTACCTCTGGGGACCGGCAACGACCTGGCGAGGACCCTCAACTGGGGGGGGGTGAGTTTTACTGGGGTTTAACTGGATCTCTTCTGGGGGTCAACTAGACTGCTGCTGGTGTAACTGGATCTCTACTAGGGTGTAACTGGAGCTCTACTGGGGCTTGACTTCATCGCTATTGGTTTAACTAGACCTCTACTGAGGTTTAAATGAATCTGTAAAGGGGTTTAACCGGATCTGTAATGTAATGTAATCTCTACTGGGGTCTAACTGGAGCTCTACTGGAGCTCTACTGGAGCTCTAATGGGGTTTGTCTGAAGATAAAACATATCTTGATATCTGAGAGTTGGTGCTGTTGCTCTTTCTCTTCTCTCAGGGTTACACCGACGAACCAATAACCAAGATCCTCTCCCATGTCGAGGACGGAAACATCGTCCAGCTGGACCGATGGAACCTGAACGTGGAGGCGAATCCGGAGGCCCCCCCAGAGGACGGAGACGAGCATCAGACCGACAAGGTCAGTGCGGAGTCACTGGTCACCGGTCGCACTCACTCAGGCGTCTCTAACCACTCTGATTTCTGCCGTTTCTCAGCTTCCCATCGACGTCTTCAACAACTACTTCAGTCTGGGCTTCGACGCCCACGTCACGCTGGGTTTCCACGAATCCAGAGGTCGGTCCAAACTCATCATGAGCTCAACAAACGTTGATCACGTAACTCACTTTTACCTAGGGTTTGAGAACATTCAGGTTTCACGTAGAAGGGGTCGATTTAAAAAAAAAGGGAATATAAAATACTCTATTTTGATGTTTGGCATTCAATTTACAGTAGCTGTGAGTTTTAAAACCCAACAGCCAGCTCCCGATTACCCGACAGGGATCAATAAAAACCTTTCTAATTAAATTAAAACCTCCACTTGGGTGGAAATGTTCTCCCCCTCCCGGTTGAAGATAAGGAAAGTTATTGTTTTCTGTTTTTGTTAGAAAATAGAAACAGGTTCAATGTTTCTGTTTGTTTTTTCAGAGGCCAACCCGGAGAAGTTTAACAGTCGCTTTAGGAATAAGATGTTCTATGCAGGAGTGAGTGTCCTCATCATATGTCTACAATTATTATTTATTGTTACTTCAATACATTTTATTTTGTATAGCCCTTGTTAATATTATTATGTATATGATCATTCATTAATAATATTTGTGATGTATTATTTCCTTTTTATATAATATCATTTTTTTCATTTATTATAATTTTTTATTATTATTTCTTATTATTGTGTGCATGCGTTTCAGACGGCCTTCTCTGACTTCCTGAGCAGGAGTTCCAAAGACCTCGCCAAGCACCTCAGAGTCGTGGTGAGTACTCCACACAGTAGCATTGTGATAGACAGAAGTACTACACACACTACAGGTAGTACACTACTGTGGCATTAGACAGTACTATACTAGCTGTACTGTGGGTAGAACTACTGTCTACTGTACTAGCTGTACTGCGTGTAGTATTACTGTTTGTAGTACTACTGTAGACAGCAGAGTACTGTGTGTAGAGAGTATGTATTTTTGAATGAAGCATGTTGCTGTTCATCTTTAATTATGTCTTTGTTTTAATCCCCACACCTCATCAGATACCAGACTTTGTGTATTTCAGTGAGTTTATTCCCATGGAAAGATTAATTTAAATAAATTGAAAATTAGAAATACACAATACAAACATTTACAAACAGTTTTTTTCAATTGCTAACAAGCATTGTTCAATACTCAAACTACATTTTCAAAACTTTTCAAATAGCACATTCAAATCAGAATGATTTTCTATATTTCAAAATAATTACTGCAGACATGTTTGAAATTAGTTATCATTCTCAGTTTTTATCAGTTTTGAAAGCAGTGTGTTAGCATATGAAAAATGTCCTGCAAATATACATTTTTTTTGCAGTTTGTCGAGTATGAATGACAAAACTTTTGAAAACTGTTGTGATTGAATGCATTTTGTCTGAAAGCAATGAAAAATGATTCACAGTTTGGTCCGTATACACTTGTGTGTCACTGAATGTATGAAGAGTTTTAAAAATGTGGTTTGAGTATTGAACAATGCTTGTTAGCAATTGAAAAAAACTGTAAAGTATGTCTCATGACATTTAATTGAATAAAACCTTTAGCTGTTCTGTGAATACTATATACAGTACATATAAAATAAACATTGTTTGTACTGCTGCAGGATACACTGACTGTATGAGTACTGTATTGTAAATTCTGTGTACATGTGTTGGTTTTGTGTACTTGTACTAAGCCTGTGTCCCCTCCTCAGTGTGACGGAACCGACCTGACGGCCAAAGTCCAGGACCTGAAGTTACAGTGTCTGCTCTTCCTCAACATCCCCAGGTACTGGTCCGTCTACTGGTCCATGTCCTGGTTTATGTACTTGTCTATCTACTGGTCCATGTACTAGTTTAGGTCTTGTCTATGTACTGGTCGGTGTACTGCACCATGTAGTGGTCCATGTACTGGTTCATGTACTGATTCAGGTACTGGTGCGGGTACTGGTTCCCAATTCTCTAATGCTAAGGAGCTTCAATGCTCCCTAGCTCATTTAGCATAGGAACCACTGCACTTTTCTTTATCAAAGGAAAGTCCCTCATTTCCATGCGGCAGCAATATTTAAATTTCGTCGCTGCAGACTGACGTTACTGACATGCGTCTCCGTCCATCACAACTACATAGTATTGTCTTTTCCTAACCCCACATGAATTCGCCTAAGCATCTTTCCTTGACCCCGTGACATTTTCCAGGTCAAGGAAAAGCGGTTTTGGAATCTAGCTACATCTCTGCAAACCACGCCTACCAACTGATTTCCTGTTTCCTGCCCGTTATACTTTGTCCACTACTGTGCAACACATAATAATGCCTGAAAGGAAAAGCAGTTTAAAGCTATTTGGAATGATCTTCCGCTTCTTTTTCTTTTTCTGTTCTGGTTGTTCTACTGGTCCATATACTGGTTTGTGTACTGGTTTGAACCAGTACTGGTCTCTCTCTTTCTCTCTACAGGTACTGTGCGGGCACTGTGCCGTGGGGTCACCCTGGTGACCACCAGGACTTTGAACCACAGCGCCACGACGATGGCTGTATCGAGGTCATCGGCTTCACCATGACGTCTCTGGTGAGACTACATCACACCATAAGACCACATCAGATCACAACCGACAATATCTTTAACCTGTTGTTGTTTGTGTTTCTGACCTGTTTTTGTTGTTTGTGTTGTTGACCTGTTGTTGTTGTTGTGGTTTGTGTCCAGGCCACGCTGCAGGTGGGGGGGCATGGCGAGCGGCTCCACCAGTGTAAGGAGGTGACCCTCACAACCTTTAAGTCCATCCCCATGCAGGTGGACGGAGAGCCGTGCAGGCTGGCTCCCTCCATCATCAGAATCCACCTAAGGAACCAGGCCAATATGGTGCAGAAGACCAAGATGAGGGTCTCCATGCCCCACCTCAACGAGTGAGCTCCCCTCCTAGTACTCACTAGCACTAATACACGTAATACTCATTAGTACTAACTAGTACTAATACTCTGTGCAGTCAGCAGCTGGTTCCTGAGAAGTTTCAAATCAGAGTGAACCGGATCAGCATGGCGGCCTACGAGGCTCTGCACTACGACAAGGACCAGCTGAAGGAGGCCTGTGAGATCAATTGATCAATCGATCAATGAATGAATACATTAATGACACAATACATTAATGAAACATTAGATCAATGAATCCCTAGATCAGTGATTAAATCGATCAATAAATCAATAGATACATGAATTAATAGATCAATGATATATAAGCTGTTCGGTTATGTCTCTGAGCTTGACTTGCCCTCGTCCCTGGCCTTGAGTTGTCCTTGTCCCTGACCTTGACGTGTCCTCCCCTCTTATCTTAACGTGTCTTTGTTTTGGCAGCAACCTCTCTGGGAGTTATCACTGTCCCCGGAGATAGCGACCTGGAGACATGCCGTCTGCTCATCGAGCGTCTCCGTGACGACCTGGACCAGGTCCACCAGAGACAGGTATCAGGGAGGACCAGGGGGGTATTCCAGAAAGCGGGTTATGTGAAAACTCAGAGTAAGTTAATCCTGAGATCAGGGAAACTCTGAGTTATCCGTTCCAGATAGAGAGGTAACTGAAACTCTGAGTCAATCACCACGGTAACAGACTCTGTGAACGTAACCTGCTCGCTGGCAGGTTTACTATAAGAAACCCAGAGTTTCTACCGTCTCCTCCCACATGAAGAAAGCTGGTAGACATGGATTGGCCATTCCTACCAAATCCAATTGACATCGAAGCCATCGTGATTCGAAATGTCTTCCGACCCAGATTAGATGTTTTATCATTCCCAGAGGAATTTCTGTTAGAACGCTACCGCTTTTCCTCACAAGGTATCATTTATCTCAGTAACATTCTCCGGCCGTATATCACCAACCTCACTCACCGCGGACGTGCACTCACATCAGAGCAAATCTTGTGCATCGCACTACGTTTTTTTGCAAATGGTAGTTTTCTTTACAACATCGGGGATGCAGAGCACTTTGGCAAGGCAACAGTTTGTAGAGCTGTGAGGAAAGTTCCCCTCGCACTGAAGCACGTCTTACCCGTGATGGTGGTGTTTCCCGGACACAAACCTCTTCCATCAAAGAGGAATTCCACAGGATTGCAGGTGACTGATGTAGAAATCATATATTATATATTTTTTTAATTATGATGTACATTCTGCTGCGACCTCAGAAGCTTAATTAGCTGTAATTTTGCAGGGCTTCCAAATGTGATAGGATGCATAGATGGGACACATATTCCTATTACTGCGCCTGCACTCGATGAAGGGGACTATGTGAATAGAAAATCCTTTCACACAAAAGCAAAGTTTGAAGAACAAAATTAATATTTCAAATAAAAATCATTATTTCTAATCTTGTCAATATCGTGACTATATTTTCAATTCATTTTTCCAACTCATTTGATAAATAAAAGTGACTTTTCATGGAAAACACGAAAATGTCTGGGTGACCCCAAACTTTTGAACGGTAGTGTATATATTAGTTTTATTTTTTTTAAAGAAGTATATACTTGCATCTGATGTAGTCACTTGTGTCCTGGGGGGTGACAGGTTCGGAAGAGCTTCCCCCAGGGATACCTTCAGCCACCGGGCGACCACTGTTTAGGCTGAGGGCCACCTCCACCTGTTTTGCCTGTACCTGCCTTCTTTCTGTTGACTGAGCAGAACTCAATGTTTCTTTGTTTTTTAATTGGTATTTTAATGAGTATTGGTGTAGGCTACAGCGTCACATTTTAAATGACTTTGATAGGAGACACTTAGAGACATTATTATTTTATACCTAAGTGGGGTATTAAGTGAAAAGACGTGTAAACACAACATTTTATTAGGGGTTTAATTTACTATTTCAAGTAGCCACTGAATTAATATTTACTTTGTTTAATAGCCTATGTCATTTAAAAAATATGAATTAAAATTAAAGTGAGGTGCAATCATAGCCTAGCAATATATGCCATACCTTTTTTAATTATGTTTTTATATTTCATTTTTAGCTGCTTCCAGGTCCTTTTTCCCCTGTTGGATTGCACCTAAATGAAAATCATTATTACTTATATTCATAACTATAGGCTGCGACGATCTTACGGTTATATGTTATGTCAATGGAACAGTACATTCTTGCATATTTCTTGCATCCCACTGTCTTCACCTCTATTGCCCTCACTTTCCTCTTTCACCCCCCTGTCTCCTAACCAAATTCTTACCCTAGTAACCTCTGCCCGTCCGACCACCTGCCCTTTTGACCCCATTCCATCACATGTTCTACAATCTATCGCTCCTGACCTTCTTCCTTTCCTCACCTGTCTCATCAATAATGCTCTGTTATCTGGCTGTTTTCCCAATTCTCTGAAGGAGGCAAGAGTTAACCCTCTCCTGAAGAAACCTACCCTCAACCCTTCTGAAGAAAACAACTACAGACCGGTCTCTCTTCTTCCCTTTTTGTCCAAAACTCTTGAACGTGCGATCTTTAACCAACTCTCCTCCTATCTCCACCATAACAACCTCCTTGACCCCCACCAGTCAGGCTTCCAGGCAGGCCACTCCACAGAGACTGCTCTCCTTGCTGTCTCAGAGAAACTCCACACTGCTAGAGCCGCCTCTCTCTCCTCTGTCCTCATCCTTCTGAACCTCTCTGCTGCATTTGACACAGTCAACCACCAGATCCTTATTTCCTCCCTTCAGGAACTTGGTGTCTCAGGCTCTGCTCTCTCCCTTCTCTCGTCCTACCTCGACGGCCGCACCTACCGGGTATCCTGGCGAGGATCTGTGTTGGAACCTTGTCCTCTTACTACTGGAGTTCCTCAGGGTTCCGTCCTGGGTCCCCTTCTCTTCTTGCTCTACACCAACTCTCTCGGCGCTGTCATTCGCTCGCATGGCTTCTCCTACCACAGTTATGCCGATGACACCCAACTAATTCTCTCCTTCCCTCCCTCGGACACCCAGGTGGCGGCACAGATCTCCGCCTGTCTGACTGACATCTCTCAGTGGATGTCCGCCCACCATCTGAAAATCAACCCCGACAAGACTGAACTACTTCTCTTTCCAGGAAAAGACTCTCCGACCCGGGACTTGACTGTCAACTTTGGCAACTCCGTGTTAACGCCCACTTTAACCGCTAGGAACCTCGGCGTCACAATCGACAGCCAACTCTCCCTGACTCCCAACATTACTGCGACAACACGATCCTGTAGATACTCTCTACAACATCAGGAAAATACGTCCACTTCTCACTCAGAAGGCTGCCCAGGTACTGATTCAGGCTCTTGTCATCTCACGCCTGGACTACTGCAACTTCCTCCTGGCAGGTCTCCCTGCTACCGCCATTCGACCTCTACAGCTCATCCAGAATGCAGCAGCTCGACTGGTCTTTAACCTTCCGAAATTCTCCCACACTACTCCACTCCTCCGTTCTCTTCACTGGCTACCGGTGGCTGCCCGCATCCAGTTCAAAACGTTGGTGCTCACGTACCATGCTGTGAATGTATCGGGTCCAGCTTACATCCAGGACATGGTAAAACCCTACATCCCAACCCGCACTCTCCGCTCTGCATCTGCAAAACTGCTCGTCCCTCCCTCACTGAGAGCAAAACACTCGACTAGATCACGACTCTTTGCTGTCCTTGCTCCGAAATGGTGGAACGAGCTCTCTGAAGACACCAGGACCGCAGAGAGCAAATTGTAAATTGGCTTACTTGAGGAAATTGCACTTTCTTGTTTCTTGTTCTTCTGAGTTTGTACCCTATGGTTGAATGCACTTATTGTAAGTCGCTTTGGATAAAAGCATCAGCTAAATGACATGTAATGTAATGTACATTCAAACTTACGCGTTGACTTGGGCAGCGATTTTTCCCCACGCAGTCTCTCTCTCCTTCGCTGCTGCAGCTGTATTGCATTTGCGGCGAAATACATGCTCATGCTCGCCGTAGGCCTGCAGAAGGACCTCCAACTCCATCGCAGTGAAATAGCGTGCTCTTTTATTTACTGTTGTCATGGTGACTCGTGGTGACTCGTGCTATCGGGGCTCCATTGATGATGGCTTTTTATAATCGTCATGCACGCGCTTAACTCAAGGTGAACATACTCAGAGTTGATTGAACTAACGCAGATCAGCTGTTCTGGAACCGGATACTCAGAGTTTCCCGTCTCAGAGTAAGTCAACTCGGAGTTCAGGGATAGACTCAGGGTTTGTTGAACCTCCTTTCTGGAATACCCCCCAGGTCTCACTTCATTGATTAACAACCTCTAGAGAAGGAAGGGGAACTTAAAGACGCTTTTATTTTCAGATCGTATATAAAAAATAATAATGATACCACTACTGATAATAACAATAGAAACAATGATAACAATCATAACACAAACCATGGTTATAACAATAATAGTATTAGTAGTACTAATAGTAATAATAGTCTGCTGCTACTACTAATAATAACATGTTTAGAAATAATAACAATAATAACACTGATTTAATGATGGTAATAATTTCAATAACAACTACAAAAAAAACGAGTACAATAGACGGATCATAAAGACGTTGGAGGATAAAATGAAGTAAGATATTATCATGTCATCAATACATCATCTCTCTGCTCCGTCAGGACGGAGCGGTAATGGAGGAGGACGCTCCATCTCCAAAGGAGTTGTCAATGAAGTGGTGTTTCCTGGACTGTAAGCCCCCCCCAACCCCACCCACACTTCCTCAGGCTCCGACCCCCACAGGGAGGTTGACAGCTGGTCTTTGTGTTTCAGGTACCACCGCAGACCGGTTCTACCGGATCGACCGTGCTCAGGTGTGACAGACTTTCTTCTTCTGCGTGGCTTCATTCCTTCTCCTATCGCTATTTGACCTTGCATTGTTGTTTTTAAGGAGCACCTGAACTATGTGATGGAGATCTCTCAGGAGGAGCTCTACATCCTGGACCCGGAGCTAGTCGTCAAGGAGACGATAGGCAACTCCCCCGGCGTGCCGGACCTGGTGGGTTCGGAGGACCACCGGAGACAGTTCTCCTTCATGGCCTCACCCCCGCCCTCGAGCCTCCCAAGGTGGGACGCCACTTTTTTATTTAACTTAATCTCAAGTTTAAAGAGTCAACGTGAAGCTGCTGAACCTCTCCCCGTCTCTCTGTCCTTGTCTCTCTGTCTCTATCTCCTTCTCACTCGGTCTCTCTCTCCCTCTCTGTCTGGCTGTCTGTCTGTCTCTCTCTCTGTCCCTCTTGTGCTCTCCCTGTCTTCCCCTGCCTGTGTCGCTCTGCCTGTCCGTCCCTCTATGTGTCTTAGGCTCAGGGACCAGAGGGTTTCCAGTGGCAGCTCCAGTGAGTCTTTGTCTCAGAGTTTCTGTAAGAGCGCTCTCTGCAGGTACGTTATGAAATCACATGACGCATCATCACTCCTACTTGTGTTAAATTAACAATCATATTTACTCTCTTTATATTTGAGGATCAAGGCATATTCATATGCATATATTTATCATATGGGTGGATGAAATCCAGCATTTGGATTGGTTGACAGTGTGTATTGTACTTTATGTACAGCACCTGTTCAAATTGACCTGAGCGTTCCATATCAGTACTCAAAATAACAGTTAGATTTTGCGCGATCGTTGTCATTTCAGTTTTTAGGTCGGTGGCGATTGCCGAAAAAAGACCGGAAACGCCACAAATGATGGGTTTAGTGCTATGCGAGCTTTTGTAATCAATTTAGACAGCTTTAAGCCAAAGAGGACACTTCAGGTAGAGGTCATGAGCAATGTGAATGAATGAGATGGTGCAAGATCTAGCAAGTAGACCTGTGATGTTCTAACACGACGCACATACTACCTCCATGTCGACCTCCTAGCTGACCAACCAACTAACTCCTGGTGCTCGGCCAACACACGTGATGCTGCTGTTTACACGGGTTAGGGACTATTTTCTCCAGGCTACTGGAATGCAACACACAACGTTTGGTGGCTACAACTGTTTAGCGCTGAAAGGCAGCTATTTACTTTCTATTTACAATGCCGCTGGTGACCGTATTATAGAAGCAATAAGGTACTCAAGGCATTTATAGCTTTATTATATATATATATAATAAAGCTATAAGGCACTCAAGGCAGCATCCTTCAAAACCTTTCATTGTTTCACTTAACTGTTTGTCTCTGTCTCTACATATTTATAAAATAAATATGTACTGTATATAGATTTAAATATATATACATATACAATATATATATATATATATATTTACATATATATACATATACGAATATATATACATATATATATATATATATATATATATACAAATATATATATTGGATTCATACATACATACCTTCCATACCTTCATACTAATACAGTTCCTCATTACATTACATTACATTACAGGTCATTTAGCAGACGCTTTTATCCAAAGCGACTTACATTGGAGTACTCATGGAGTACACACACAGTAAACACAGAGAACACATTAAGTACACACAGAGTACACACCAGTCGTACCACTATCGGCCTCTCACCTTGTCTCGTGTACGTCTCCTCTTCTGGTCTGAAGGAGAGGAGCAAAGATTGTCACAGTTCAGCACTCCAACACAACACCTGCTGATTTCAGACCCATCGTTAGGTATGACATCATCCCTGTGTGTGGCATGTCATCATCAGTGTGTGAAGTATGACATCCTCAGTGTGTGACCATCTCATCTGCTTCATGTCTCTAGCGTTGGTCTGATCTGACACTCCTCTCTCTCACAGTCCTTCCAGAGCGCCGTCACACGACCCTCAACAAGGTAAACGTTCAGTTCTTCACATTCCTCACGTTCTTAACATTCCTCACGTTCATCACATTACTCACGATCGTCATGTTCTTCACGTTTCTGATGTTCTTCACCTTCGTCACATTCTTTGCGTCCTTCACATTCTTCACGTTCCTCACGTTCTTCACATTCCTCACGTTGTTCATGTTCTTCATATCCTTCATGTTCTTCCCGTTCCTGATGTTCTTCACCTTCGTCACGTTCTTTGCGTCCTTCGTGTTCTTCACGTTCCTCGCGTTCTTCACGTACTTCACATTCCTTACGTTTTTTCATGTTCCTCACGTTCCTTCATGTTCTTCACGTTCCTGATGTTCCTCACCTTCATCATGTTCTTCACATTCCTCACGTTCTTCACATTCCTCACGTTGTTCATGTTCTTCACATTCCTCACGTTGTTCATGTTCTTCACATCCTTCATGTTCTTCACATTCCTCACGTTGTTCATGTTCTTCACATCCTTCATGTTCTTCACATTCCTGATGTTCTTCACCTTCGTCATGTTCTTTGCGTCGTTCATGTTCTTCACGTTCCTTGCGTTCTTCACGTTCTTCACATTCCTTGCATTTTTCATGTTCCTCACGTCCTTCATGTTCTTCACATTCCTGATGTTCCTCACCTTCATCATGCTCTTTGCGTCGTTCATGTTCTTCACGTTCCTTGCGTTCTTCACGTTCTTCACATTCCTTGCGTTTTTCATGTTCCTCACGTCCTTCGTGTTCTTCACATTCCTGATGTTCCTCACCTTCATCATGCTCTTTGCGTCCTTCACGTTCTTCACCTTTGTCAGGTTCTTTGCGTTCCTCATGTTCTTTACGACCATCACATTCTCCAAGCCCTTCATGTCCTTCACATGCTCATGTTCCACGTTTGTCACGTTCCTCGCGGCCGTCATGTTCTTCACATCCCTCACGTTCCTCAAGTTCATGTTCTTCAGCTTCGTCACATTCTCCACGTTTGTCACATTTCTCATGTTCTAACCGTTCCTTACGTCCCTCATGTTCTTCACATTCTTCACGTCCTTTGCGTTCTTTATGTTCCTCCTCTAATAAACCTTCAGAATTCCATATTGTTGTATGTTTGATTCGCATCTTGAGGTCCAACTCAACAAGCTGCAAGTCCAACCCAACAAATGTTGGATCCATTGGCAAGAACCAATGGATCCAACATTTATGTCATCAGGTACCTCAGAACCAATTTGTTTCCTCCAAACGAGGAGCCTCGAGGACTCTTTGAAGGTGTCTCCACACTAGGACCTTAGAGTTTGGAGGACCTTACAAATAATATATATATAATATATATATATATATATATATATATATATATATATTATTTGTAAGGTCCTCCAACCTCTAACTATTCCCTGTTCTTCAGATGCTGAGCTCATCAGCAGCATTGAGGCTGAAGATCTGGACCGGGTGAGTCCATCTCATGTTTCATCACATTTTTTATAAATATATATACATCCAGTGCACACACATATATATGTGTGTGCACTGGATGCTCAATTTCTTTCTGCTTGGTTTATGACTAAAGTGTCTGTGTTGTCGTTGTTATCGTTGTTGTGGTGCTGGTGCAGCTGACGGAGCTCCACCAGCAGGGGGCGGACCTCCTGCTGCAGGACCAGGACGGCTGCACGTTGCTGCATCGAGCTGTGACGGCTGGGAGCGAGGAGATCCTCAAGTACCTTATCCAGCACGGTACGACACTATACACACCACGTACACGCTGTACACAATGTTTTTATTTTTTATGTCATTAAAAATAGAATCAAAGGCTGTTTGAAAGTATCAAAGTATTTAGTGACTGTGAGCTTGTTCGCTAAATCAGATGAAACCCTCACAGAGAACAATTTAAGATGTTTGTTCTTTGTCTGAAAATAATAATAATTATTATGTCTCTGCTTATTAAAGTTACTCGTTGAAGTCCCGCCTACGGACAAGCGGCTCCTGATGTGATTGATTAGTGTTTGAACCCATGGCTCTCATGGTTCTCGTGGTTCAAATAGTTCTCATGGTTCTTATGGTTCTCATGATTCTCATAGTCATCATGAATCTCAAGGTGCTTATGGATCTTGTTTATTAATGTACATCTCGTGTCTCTTTGGTTCCTCAGTTCCCGTGTCTCACCTGGATGTAACGGAGAAGGAAACGTGAGACTTATTTATTTTTTACACCTGTTTAGACTTTCCCTCCAAACTCATTTGTGTGTGATAAATGTTCTGTTTTTCTTCCAGAGGAGAGACGGCACTCCACAAAGCCGCCTCCTCCTCTCAGAGGAGCATCTGCCACTACCTGGTGGAGGCCGGGGCGTCGCTCATGAAGACGGACCTGCAGGTAAACATCACTCACCTGTAGCCCACACACTGACAGGGGAGGAGGGAGACGCTCCGCCGCCTGAGGAGAAGCGGGGGAGATTCTTCACCACTGCACCCTGTTTCCTTACTGCAGTAGATTGTGTTTCTCCTCTCTCCCCTCTATATTAGTGTTGATTATCAAAGCCATTATTAAACTTCTACAGGAATCAGCTCTACGTTATATATTTTTTAAGTTTGTAAATATAAAGTGAACTGTGTTTATCTACTTAACTCCATATCTAGTCTGAAGGTTCTTCACACCTTCAGGGATCTGAGGTGACCTCATACTCTTCTTCTCAGGGTCAGACTCCCAGACATCATGCCGAGAGAGCCGAGGACCGCCAGCTGGCTGAGGACTTGGAGGACCTGCAGACCCAGAAGATCCACCGGGAGAACCATGAGACGGCTGTGTGACCTCCTCCTACCCGTCCTCTCCTCAGACCTCCTTCTGTCCGTTCTATCCTCAGACCTCCTCCTGCCTGTCCTCTCCTCAGACCTCCTGTCCTTCCTCTCATGAGACCTCCTCCTGCCTGTCCTCTCCTCAGGCTTCCTCCTGTCCGTCCTCTCCTGAGACCTCCTATCAGCTGGGTGCTGACACATCAATATTCATGAATATTTATCTTTAAGCAGCATAGAGGTTTGTAGAAGGACGCAAACCTCCACTGTCCTTCAAACTAAAAGCCTCTTTGATGGGCTGCCTGTAGAATGTGTCTTTAAGGGTTAGCAGGGCTCTAGAGTGCGACCAAAATTTGTACATGTGCGACTAAAATGTTTCCTAGGTGACTCATGGTTGGATCATATCGTGGTCTAAACCAATCAGAGACAGAGATGCGGCAGGTCTTTGCCTCTGATTGGCTGTGGTCCAGATATTCCTGTAGGCCTACACTGCTCCGTGCTGTGTGATTGAAATTGCGACCTGAACACCAGCAATAATCGCACAACAAAAATGTTATATCATGACAGCCCCACCTTAGATAGTTTTTTTTCCATCTACCTACACCTTATTCTTGTTTTAAATCATTTACATAATATATATAAATATTTATAGGGCGTCATGGTGGTGTGGTCACCTGTGGTCGCCTCACAGCAGGAAGGTCCTGGGTTGGACTCCGCCCAGTGGCCTTTCTGTGTGGAGTCTGCATGTTCTCCCCGTGTCTGCGTGGGTTCTCTCCGGGTTCTCCGGCTTCCTCCCACAGTCCAAAGACATGCTCTGGGGATCAGGTTGATTGGGGACTTTAAATTGCCCGTAGGAGTGTGAATGGTTGTATGTCTCTGTGTAGCCCTGTGATTGGCTGGCGACCAATCCAGGGTGAACCCTGTCTATCGCCTGAAGTTGGCTGGGATGGACTCCAGCCAGGATAAGCTGTTTAACAATGGATGGATATAAATGTATATGGAGAGTGATAAAAAAGAATTACCTTGAAATTATGGCTTTAAAGGCGACGCAAGGAAAAATTTGGGTGCACCTAAATTTTGTGCTGTTGCACCTAAATAAAAAAGTAAGGCGCACCAGTGCAACCTGGCAAAAAGTTAGTCTGGAGCCCTAGTTAGGCTTTAGCGCTCTGTGAACAGGAAGTGACACGCTGTCTCCTCTCGTTTACTCAACAGATAAATAAGTGTTTGTATATTTAGCTCTAAGACGCGTTTGACTTGATATATAAAATATATTCGTGGATTATAAAACAAAAGCTTTTTCTGCTTCTGAGATCGAACCCGCTTCAGGTTTTCAGATGTTTAACTCGCAGTATGGGATCATTTTTTTTGTGATTATTTGTTGTGTCTGTTACATAACTTAAAAAATATGTTTATGTGTTTTTGTTTTTGTGATGATCTACGTTGTTTATGATGTAATAACTGTTTCTGCAATAAAAAGCAATGTCGGCAACTTTTTCTGAGCGGAAAAAAAAGTTATTCCATCGAGAGACAAAACACTCAGCCTCTAATGCTTGAATGGCTGGATTTGTGCGTCTGTGTGTGTGTGTGTGTGTGTGTGTGTTTCAGTGTGTGCAGCAGCTCACTCCTCTTCGTCTCTTCTCTCTGACCGGCTGCTTCCTCTGAGCTCAGCAAGTGAGTTTTAATCTTTTTGAACTTATTTCAGTTGGATTTGTGTCTGTTTCCAGGCTGATGAGTTAAATACTAATATGAATTCAAATGTATTATTAATATTACATAGATTACAACTATTATCTAATACGAATGAATCCTGCTGTTGATCTGCTTAGATTGAACCAAATTTAACAACTTTGAATCACTTTAAGCCGAAATGTTCTGGAATGTGATGATTTATATTAAATTGATAAATACATTATTTCATTTAAGTCATAAGAAATATTTAACATTTAAAATGTTTTCCGAGATTTAATGAATCAATAAACAACTCTGTAGATTACTGTAAGTTTATTTTAAAACAACTGAGAAATATTAATAATTTGTTTTATTTATAAAATAATATTAAATCTGTGATGTAATATTCAGTGCTTTTATCAGTTCTGTGTTTTTCCTAAAAAATTAAATCTTGTTTAGAAGCTTCCTGTTGTTGTTGTTGTAACTGTCAGCTGAACTGAAGAATTTTGTCTGAAATTCTGTCTTTGAAAACATGTCTGTAAGATCTTTAAAACATTCCACTCCTTTTATTCATGCTCAGTTGCCATTGTTTTCATTGAGGGCGGGGGTTTGTCAGGGAGGGGGGCGCCGGTGGGGGTCAGCGCCTAAGACGCGGGGAGGAATCTGCGTGGGTCTTTAGAGAAATGGAACCAGGCTAAATAGGCTTTGTTTTGGGCCAATGAATCAGTATTCTTTTGAGGGGGAATATAGGCCTCTTTCAGCGCTGCATGACCCCCCCCCCCCACCCCCCCACGGAATGGAGTGCTTCTGAGAACCGGTCCCCTCCTCCAAAAAGAAGATGGATTTCTCTGCCACCCCTGTGAAAAAAAAGAGCTGCCTTAATGGAGGCGTGAGAGAGAGGGTCTTCATTTCTCAGCACAATAACAGCAAGGGAAAGAGGTGCTTTGTGGGTAATTGACTCTCTTTTTACAAAGTAGAGCCACATTTCCCCTCCGAGCCGACTCTAAGACAAATTATCCATAAACATGCAGAGAAACAACAGAATAACAACGGTCGGTTGAACAATATCTGAATACATTAGCCTACTTTCATAATCCCGATTAAAATAGTCAGATTACGGGTTTAAGTGCCCCAAGGTTTGGGGACGGGCTGAAAACAAGCAGATTTGGACTACACGTGGACCATCTGGACTTAAAACAAGACTAATGATATGTGAATAGAAACTCTGTCCCTGTACATTTAGGAGAGTTTCTACAGATTTAAAATGAAACTTTTTGCTTCAGATTCAAGTGTTGGATTCCCCTCAAAGGAGACAGAAAGACACTCTTCAATACTTGCGTCTGTTTGTAGTTGTTTTACATCTCTTTGAAGTCTCGGCCATGTTTTGCGTCTCTTTGAAGTATCTTTGTAGTTGATATATAGACTGTCGCGTCTCTTTGTGGTTGTTTTGTATCTGCATTTAGCTGATGATGTTCAAACCATCGTCAGTCGTAATAACACGATCATAATAATGCTGAATTGCAGATGGAGTGGTTTACTGTGTAATCAGTTCCGTGGTGCTCGGGAAGGTGACATATTGTTCTTGTTTCTCTCTGCAGAATGAAGAGTTTGTTAGCGGTGCTGTTGCTTCTGGCGCTGACACTCCCCTCCGAGGCCAACCGCAGAGCCAAGAATCACAAAGGTCAAACCGCCTTCTGCTGACTCGGGTTTTAACGTTTTTCAGGCCAAAGACCCCCAAAGTGATGGCGAGATGGAGCAGGAGTTTGGTCCGCCATCTTTTATTTTTGAGCATAAACGTGATCTGATTGGCTGGTGCCTGTGCTGTGGTATTTGCATGAAAGGAGCAGTGAGTGAAGGGGAAGGACGGACCCTTTCTGATTGGACGGACTGTCTGTCTGTCTTTTAACCCTCTTAATCTGAAGCCCTTCGCCTGCGACATAAAGTGACATAGAGGATTCAAATTACCGTGACTCCTTAACTATTTGCACAATCGGATTCTGAAAGCTGAGAAATGCCGCTTTCTACATATTCTGTCAATCAATAAATCAGTGGCGGGACTGAGAGGCTGTGATGAGGGGGGAAGTGACGCAGCAGGAAGTCACGGAGAGATGGCGATGTTTTACCAGTGTATTAAGTGTTTCACCATTGTTTTACCACTGTTTTGTTGTTCAATTATATTTAGGTGTTTTAAATAAAAAGGGGGGGGGCGCGGACGCTACGGCTCGGGGACCAGAGTCCGATTACTTGGCGTGAGAAATTGGATGTGTGCCGTGAGAGCGTGACACGAGACCGAAATGCGTGACTGACTCGCTCAATGCGTGACACTTGACAGCCCTGTATCATTTCCTGTTAGAAGACAGACTGTCTGTCCAATCAGAAGGGTCCGTCCTCTGCTATACGGCCCTACCCTTTCCATAAGTTCATTTCGTTGTGTTTTCCTATTTGCCGTTGTGTTTTGCACTTCAGGGCCACCGTATGTAAGGCTATAGGTTAGTTAAAAAAAATAAAGTGCACCAGCGAACAGATACACAACTGTGTTTTGAGAGTATATGACAGTGACAAGTGCAGCGCCGCAAACTTTTCAAAAAACCTTGGAGTGAGATTTTGTCGGGGGTGACCAAAATTTTGCCGCACACACACGTTGGTGGCTCAAATATCAGGAAATTGAAATTCACTTGGCTTCGTACCCATGTTCTACCCTGCTTTCTGGTGGTTTGTGGGGCAGCCTACTGGAGATTGACAACATTGGTTACATTCTGTGAAGTAAAGACATAGCTGATGGTCCACCCCCAGGACATTTGGGTTTAACTAGATGTTATTTCATGCATTCTAGTGGATTTTTGGGTGGTATGCCTGAACTTATTCTGATTCATGTTCATCTGCTCATGACTTGTGGGGCCTTCTAGACTCGAGCTGAACAGAAAACTATTGCTGTGTTTCAATGACTGTCCACTATATGACCACAATATAGCCTAATTAATAGACCTGTGTAAGATTTGACCAATTTAGGTTGATTGACATTTTGATTACAATAGTATTCAATTCTTAACTGAAACCTAACCTATATTGTTAATAATTGTATTCTTAAGAGCACTTAATGATTTATGTTCAGCAAAAAATGAAGTTTAGTTTGATAATGAAAAATATTTTTCTCTATCAAAACAAAAAAAGTGCTTAAACAGTAGCCTTTCAAAGCAAAACAATGGATACAGATAATATAAATACACATAAATAAAATAACAAATGGAGGTATTAAGGAGATCAGAAGCTGGTTAGTAATTTTTTTATTAAGCATTGTTTATTAAGGCTGCTCACAGTGAGCTATGCTTAATGCTATGATGTTTTGAGCATGCAGTATACCAAGAGGTTAAAAAGGTGCTCTCCTGCTGCTTGTTATGACAGTTTGCATTCACCACTCAAAATCGCACGCACAAACACAACTAATAATTTCTTTCCAGATTTAAAGTTTAAGAGTGAGTACTTAATTGAACCACATGTCATTAATGTACCATAGTCTTTGCTCCTGAGTTTCTCCCGCGGTTGTGTCGGTTTGAAAATCTTCTGTTGCTAACTTCGGGACTCTTTGGGGTAAACAGGATGTCTATGCAGCGAATAGGTTTACAGATGCACTCCTCAGCGCCATCTATCGTCGGGGAGTTTGAAAAGGAACGAACGTGCTTCGGCCCAAAATCAGAATTTTTTTTTTGCCGTGAGAAATTGGTTGTGTGGCGTGAGTGCGTGTGAAAACATGCGAAAGCGTGTGTCACACGGCGAAACCGTGAGAGTTGGTAGCTCTGCAAGTGCATGTGAGGGGAGTGACCGGTGGGATGTTATAGTCAGTCAGTGGGGGACCGGGCTCTGTTAATGATCCCAACTGCAGACGGGAAGAAACTGTTGGTGTGATGTGAGGTCTTAGTCCTGATGGACCTCAGCCTCCTGCCAGATGGAAGGGGCACAAACCATTTTTTGTCCGGGGTGAGAGGGGTCGGCTACCATCTTTTTAGCTCTCTTCAGGGTCCTGGAAGCGAACAAGTCCTGCAGGGACAGCAGATTGCAGCCAATCACCCTCTCTGCAGAGCGGATGACACCTGCCTTGGAGTACTTTTTTTTTTTTTTAAAACACTTTCTTCATCCGGGTTCTTTTCTACCGACCTGTTGTGGCGGGAAGAGACTGCAGATTGCAGCCAATTCCTCCTCTCCGGGTGATGGGGGACTGCATTCTTCCTAAAATCTACAACCATCTCCACTGTCTTTAGAGCGTTGAGCTCCAGGTTGTTCTGGCTGCACCACGACACCAGATGGTCAGACTCCCACCTGTAGGCGGACTCGTCCCCACCAGAGATCAGTCCAATGAGGGTGGTGTCATCCACAAACTTCAGGAGCTTGATGGACTGGTGACTGGAGGGGCAGCTGTTGGTGTACAGGGAGAAGAGCAGAGGGGAAAGAACGCAGCCTTGGGGGGAACCGGTGCTGATGGTCCGAGAGGCTGAGACATGTTTCCCCAGCTTCACGTGCTGCTTCCTGTCAGACAGGAAGTCTGTGATCCACTTGCAGGTGGAGTCGGGCACGTGCAGCTGGGAGAGTTTGTCCTGCAGCAGAGACGGGATCCTGGCGTAGGTTCCTGGGGAGTCCAGATGCTGGAGGATGTAGTGGAGGGCCATGTTGACAGCATCGTCCACAGACCTGTTGGCTCTGTAGGCGAACTGCAGGGGGTCCAGGAGGGGGTCGGTGAGGGACTTCAGGTGGGACAGGACTAGCCGTTCAAAAGACTTCATGACTACAGAGGTCAGGGCGACAGGCCTGTAGTCATTGAGTCCTGTGATCCTGGGCTTCTTGGGAACAGGGATGATGGTGGAGGCCTTGAAGCAGGCTGGTACGTGGCCTGTCTCCAGGGAGGCGTTGAAGATGTCAGTTAACACCGGAGACAGCTAATGCTTCAGGGGCACGTAAACACCGACCAGGATGAATGAAGCAAACTAACATGATTCACTGCTGATTAACGAGCACCCCAATTTACTGGTTTCACCATCTGGACCCACACATAGAAACCCAAAAGCTCGACTCAGACAACAATGGGCGAGACAGATGGATTTGACTGAAAGTTCAGGCAAGGTAGAAAACCGGGAGATCCGTCAGTAGGCAAACAAATACAGAAGGGCAGGCATCCGTAGATGAAAACAGGCAGGGTCCAAACCAGGAGGCAATCAGACAGGCAGACAAATCCAAAACGGGCAGGCAGAGAATACGTGGTCAAAAGGCAGGCGAGGTCAGAACAGAAGGATATCAGGCTAATTCAGAAACACTGGAAGAGTTGGCATACACACAAGACAATCTGGCAGGGAACAACAGAATGTGACAGGCTTAAATAGTGAGTGGCTGACGAGGGGATGTGCTGCAGGTGAGAAGGGCAAGGAGAACCAGGTGAGGGTAATGAGCTGATGTGGGAGGATCTCAAATAACAGGAGAATTAGTACATTAGAACATGCAGGTGGGAGGAAAAACAAACTAAGATGTGGTCAAATGTGTGACACTATATATATATATATTTTAAAAAATCTGAGAATGTTTAAATGGATACATGAGTGCAGTGCATCCAGTCAGCACACCTGAGATCAGCTGTCTCCGTCCCCCAGGTGGGAAGCAGGAGAAGTCCCGGCTGTCCTCCGAGTGCTCCACCACAGAGACACAGTTCGGTAAATGTGTCCCCAAGGACAGAGGCTGTGGAGACGGACTGAGAGACGCCTCCTGCAGGGACGTCACCGAGAAGATCTACTGCAAAGTGCCCTGCAACTGGAAGAAGGACATCGGTAAGAGACACACAGCCTACACACAGTTACACACACTGCACAAAGACCCACTGCACACAGAGGAATATATATTTTGTTGCATTTTTATTCTCATAACCCTGCTTATTATTAATCTTTCATCTTTAATAAACAAAACTAAAATAAAAACAACCCAGTGCTAAAACTCAACTGACCGATCAGCTGAACCAATTAGTCGATAAATCAATTAGTTAGTAAATTAAATTCAATCAATTTTATTTTGTATAGCCCAAAATTACTGACCTTTGACCTTCATATTGGCACGGGAGAACCCCCCTAAAAAATACAAAACATTTTGGTAGTGGTACTTATATTCGCTCCATTAGAAAATGTTACTGTTTTAATTTTATTTTAACATCTAATTGAAGTTTTAAAAAAATATGAGAACATTAAGAAGTATTCATTTATTATTAATCTTTTTGATTCATTTGTTGTTTCAAGTATTTATTTTATTCACTTTTAACATGGAAGATACAAAAAATAATAAATTTGACACACAGTTAACTAAACTAATCATACAATAAATATACAAGTATTAAACTATTATTGATCAGAAACAGTTCTCAAATTGAAACTGACAGGGATTGTGGGTGGAGCCTCTCGGCCTGATGTCTCTGCTCCTCCTCCAGGTGACTGTAAGTACAAGTTCGGCCCGTGGGGATCCTGTGAGGCCGACACCGACACCAAGAGCCGGTCCGGGACCCTGAAGAGGGCGCTGTTCAACGCCGAGTGCCAGCCCACCGTGAGGGTGTCCAAACCCTGCTCCCCCATACACAAAAAGTGAAGAAGACCAGAGGTGCGATCACCCCGTCACCTGGCAACCTTATCATATCTAGAGCTGCATCTTCAGCACAATCACAATTTTATCATTATTCTCCTCACTAAATAAAGTCTTTACGTCTCTGGTAGAGACCTGTCAATCAGCGTGTAGCCCTGCCCTCAAGCATCCCCCACTCTATAGTCTATTAGAGACCTGTCAATCAGCGTGTAGCCCTGCCCTCAAGCATCCCCCGCTCTATAGTCTATTAGAGACCTGTCAATCAGCGTGTAGCCCTGCCCTCAAGCATCCCCCGCTCTATAGTCTATTAGAGACCTGTCA